TATTGTATTATATTATATTATATTATATTATATTATATTATATTATATTATATTTTATTTTATTTTATTTTATTTTATTTTATTTTATTTTATTCTATTTTACTTAAATTTAATTAAATTAATTTAATTTAACTTAATTTCATTTCCTTTAATGTGACATTTAATTTAATTTAATGCGCATTCGCGACATTTGCAGCACCGATGCAATTCACAAAAAGGAATTATTGCACTGCAATTAAAAAAGAAATATAACTGAAAGTCCTTTCAACTGGTACAGCGTCAATCGAAAATACCTTACAATTTTGTCAATTTTGTCAAGTTTCTAGTTTTTTAAGTTTATCGCCTCGAACTAGTAGTTATTTAGTGGCACTGGTTTGATTTGCGACCCGTTAGAAAACATGTAACCCGTAAAGGCAGTAAAATTACTCTTTCTAAATATAATGTTCCAATTTTTTTTATTTTAAGTGCAAAATAAAAAAAACCTTATTAAAATTACTAACTTTTCCATTTTTTATTTACCTGCTTCACCTAATGTACGCACCAAAATTATTTCTTAAAAATATTTGACATCTGCATTCGCATCCGCATCCGCGGATGTTAGTTTTTAAACATCCGCGTCCGCCTTCGCATCCACGGATGTTAGCTTTTAAACATTCGCGTCCGCCTTCGCATCCGCGGATGTCTAAAATTCCACATTCGCAACATCCTTTGTCTACACATTATTTGAACACCTACTTTTGTAATTTTCGGCCAGTAATTTATTTAGAAATTTGTTTGAAAATATGCCTTTCTGTAAAATTCAGAAATTAACATACACTAATCCCTTATATTCACCTTACAGCAGCCACTTCATTAATACGTTTTTACATTCACCTTCACTTTACACTTTATTATATTCGTTATAACTTTTTTATTCTTTTAATTTCAACACATTTAATCATAATTTATTAAACAAAAAATAAGTGAAAATCACGCTCGTGCCTTTGGTTGCATATGCAAATTAAATGGCGGGATTCAGCTGTCAATCTCCATAATATCTCTAACTTGGCAGCACTCACAACGCTGTGCACTAAACACAGCTCGAAATAGTTGTTTTCGGCATGCAACCCAGCCGGCTCATCAGCTGATTTTTACACGTGTGACGTTTTTGTTGGGGCGACTATTTCGTGCGACATTCATGAAACTTCTTTTTTGTGTCACATTCTATTTATTAATTCGAAGAAAATCGTGAAAGAATAAGAAAAGTTAGTTTTTGTGCATATATATACCCTCCGCTAAACTAGTAGCCGTTTAAAATGCGTGAAAATACACCACCACGTGTAAACGAAATTGAAGATGATGACGCTGAAGAGATAATCTTCGCCAATGATGTGCCACCCGATGACGACGAATTGGAAATGGAGGAAATCACCATGGAAGAGTTGGAAGCGCGTTATGGCTATCTTTCTGATGTAGAAGAAAACACGGAGGGCAGATTTTCGCAGTCGCCAGAACGTGATGACGCCATACTAACATTCATGAAGCATAAATCGGCTGTATTTGGTTGTTCATTACATCCTACTCGGCCGCTGGCTGCTACTGGCGGTGAAGATGATCGCGCATATGTTTGGAATATAAACACTTGCGAAGTGATGCTTGAAATTACGGAACATAAAGACACCGTCACTGATGTCCATTTCAGTTACGATGGCACTTATCTAGCCACCGGCGATATGGCGGGCGAATTATTTGTACACAAGTTGCAAGAGAGTGAGTCTGGTCCACAGTTAACCTTGCGCAAGGTGTGGGAATTCTCGATGGGCGATATGACTTGGATGTGTTGGCATCGTGCTGCTAATGTCCTAATGGCGGGCAGTGAAAATGGTGAAGTGTACGTCTGGCGTATACCCTCAGGCGATTGTAAAATACTACCTGGAGAAGGTGTGCGTTGCGGTGTAGCCGATTTGACCGGTGATGGAAAGAGGCTCTTTGTTGGCTATACAAATGGTGCAGTCAAGCTGTGGGATCTAAAGAGTTGCACAGTGGTCATGGAAGTAGATGCACAAAATCCAATGGCGCAGCAAACGGTTGTATTGTCGGTGGCGTGTGAAAAGGACTCACCGTTTTACGCCGCCGGAGCAGCAGATGGTTCGTAGAAATATAATGATGTATAAAAATATAATGATATAAATTTATATACATATGTACATATGTACATATAATACCTATTTTCAAATTGCACAGGTAAAATTGTTTTCTGCACAAATAGTGGTCCGGTGGGTGCTGTAGAGGCTGATGGTTCAGTAGAATATTTAGCATTTCCGCCTTCCAATGACCTTAAAATAGTTGCCAGTGGTACATTGCAAGGACAAATAGCAATTTGGGATTATACAAAGTATAATATGCGGACATTATGCGATCACACCTTTGTAGAAGGTGACAATTCAAATAAATTTCAAGGTGGCATAACCCGGTATGCAAATCAAGAGCATACATTTTGACACAATTTTAATGTTATTGTCCTCTAGGCTGAAGTGGCTCAGTGATCATACGCTCATGGCAGCTACAATGGATGGCAATGTGATTGCTTTTGATGCGCGTTCTGGCGCACGCAAATTTACCCTCGAGGGACATATGGCGGAAATCTATGAAATGTGTTATAATCCACATGAAAACATCTTGTTGACAGTATCGGAGGATCATCGAGCGAAAATCTTTAATATACCACAGCTGGGCGATTAATTGCTTTATAGGCAAAAATAATTCGCATTGGCTGTTATGCAGCAGCAGTACAGCGCGCGGAGCAAGAATATATCATGCGTTTGTTGTAATAGGTATGCACGCTTGGACTGTTAAAGACGTAAATATGTACATACATACATAATTATGTATACAAAATGTTAAAAAAAATTTTAGTTGCAAATAAGTTTCTTTTTTATAATTCTCTAACATATACAAGTATATTATTACTGTTTAGCTAAAAATAATGGTAATTTGCATTTTTTTGGAGAAATATTGTTCAACGTATTAAATGAAATCGATTGGAACCAGCAAGTCTTACATGAAAGTTATAGTTCCAACAATCGAGAGCTCAGAGCAAGCTAAATCCAGCGTGAGTTCGTGAAGTCCGGACGTTGCTTGGAAAGCGTGACTAGGTACTTTAAACTAATTTGGAATCGTCACACACCTATCTGGTCAAGCTGTGACGACGAGACGTTACCACGGTAGGCGGGTCTACGTAAACGGACGGATTCAGATTCATATCTGGCCAAGGGCTGTCACTTCAGCGTCATTCCCTAAAACTCTATGGAGAATTTGTGTGTTACAAACAACAACAGCATCACGACGAATCCAGGATACGACGCGGCTAATAGGATTGCGCGACTAGAATTTTGTTATTACAAGGTCGAGCGTTGGTGCACAACATTATCTGTATAATGGGAAAGATAAATAGGAAGTGGATGGACCTGTATGACTACTAATTTCCACATGTCGGTATACAGGGGAAAGCTGTTGTGATGTACTCGACTCCCGCCGGTGCTAGCCGGTTTTTTCATTTGATACAAATCTTCACCTCAATAAGAGTTTTGAGATTTTCTATGCTTTCAAGGCATTTTCCAGTTTAAGGGAAATCCCTAAACAGTTTTACAATTATATCTTAGGTTATTTGGGGATGAACAGTATATCATATTTGATTCCAATAAATTAATGCTTAAACGGTTTCTAAGTGTTTGGCCGAGCTTCTCAACCAATTCATGTTCTGCTTTTTGATGTTGTGACACAAATAGCGAGATCAACACTTTCACTCCACCTCCGAAGGAGCGCTTTCATGTTAAAAGTACAGTCAGGGGTTTGCTATTGTCTGGAGAGGGGCGACTGCCATTTAAAAAATTTTTTGATACCGAGACTAAACCGAAAACTCAGAAGAAAACGCATTAAAGTATTAAAAAAAGGCCTAAAATAAGACCAAACGTGGATTTTTAACGGATTTTTATTTGTTTTGCTTTTGATCTAAAAGACGTTTGTACTTTTTTGCTTTGCTCTTTTCTAAGTAAAAGCATTCTTTACCGTTAACTTTTGATAATTTTTGGTCATGACTTCATACCACACAAGGCACATTAAACAGGTAGTATCAGTAGAGCAAAAACAACATTTGCGTGTATTTTGTTGTTGCTTCTGGTATCGAAAGTGTCAAAAACTGTTCTGAATTTTTTCTTCTAAATCAAAGCGTGCCATGTGAAATACAAAAAATTATAAAAAATAAAAAATTGAAATTGGAAAAAATAAAAATTGTTGCAACTTTCTTTCCTAGTGAATTTGTTTGCTTCTCGAAGCATTGATCCATCCTTTACAAGGGCCAGTAATCAGCGGTTGTGCTGCTGAGTTGGGCGAACGTTCCAAAAGCTGCTATTCAATCGCTTGTTTTGTATGGAAAAAGGTTTCACATGCAAATGGATTTTAACAATTCAGAATTTTTGTGAGAAAAAATTAAAAATATTTGACATTTTCGAGACCAAATAATTTGAAAATAAATCAAATCAGCGGCTCTACTGATACTACCTGTTCAATGTACCTTGATACCACATAATTATTTCCACTGTATGAAAAAAAAAACTGGTTTATCCGTTTTTTTTTCTTTCATGATCTGGAACCTTTTTTTTACAAATTTCAATTTTTCAAATAACTCGAAAATCAGTGTACTGGACGAATAATCGTACACCCTAGTACATAAGTAAATACTTACATACATACATATCGTTAGTATAGGAAGGTAAGGGCGTATCTCACATCTTCGCTGAAATGCAAAAAAAAACATAACTAATAAAATTTTTAATTGCATTAAACGATGTGGGGACTTATAATTCGATGAAATGCATCATAAATCAACCAAGAAGTGAATTTTTGATTTTTAGTTAACTGCGGCTTTTTGTATTTCAGCAACGATGTGAGATACGCCTTTTCCATGCTATACTAACGATATGTATGCACATATGTATTCGACGTTTTTTTTTTTTGTATGGAAAAATGCGTCATGCAGTCAGAAAAAAAATATTGGAAATGCAATTCTTAGCAACTTAACACTTGCACATTCTTGCCCTAGAATTAAATATTACTAAAAAGGTTGCAAATTAAGCTGATACTTTGCAGAGTTTTTATAATTTTTGCACAAAGTTTGAAATGAGGATTTATATGGTGTTTGTTTTATAATGAGCTAGACTTTTATAAATAAAAAGTAATTAACATAAAATAAACAAAAGAAAAATAGTCATAATTTATCAAAATGGTGCTGGCTTAATTAGCTGATCCCAAGTGTATATAGGAATATCACCAAATCGTTCTTTCCCAAATGGTTGCGAACTGAGCTCTTTCGTACTTTTAAATTGGTATAATTATCTAAAAACCCCGAATAGGCGGTTCTTTCTCACAACTAGTTACGAACTGGTCTTTCCCAAACTAGTCCATACAGCCTCGAACTTTTGGGAATAGTTCGCACCTGTAGATAAATCAACTATTCTAAGCTTAAAAATAGCTTTCTATTGGAATAATAGAAAAACTTAACAGTTTCATCCACATAATTTTTTTTTTATCATAAACAACAATTCATACCACTGTCCACAAATCGTCTGCAATCTGCAAACTGCAGCTAGATATAAACAAATCGTTCAAAGCATGGCTATGCGTCATTGGAGCACGTGCTACACGAGGCATCATACAGTGCAACAAAAGGAAGGCAAATGGCGGAAGGTCTATGTTTATGAAATAAAAGCAAAAGAAAGGAGAAAGCAAACAAAAACAGCACTTGAGATATGTTTGAATGGGCCCAGTGCAGGAAAAGCATTGACCGCCAACATTGGAATAGTGCATGCTAACAACTAAATACTTATAAATATATACATACATATGTGGAAATGTAAGTATATTAGGGTGGGCAAAAAAAAAAATTAAGTCCGAATTTTAAATTACCTCCGGGGTGTTCCATACGAAATAAAGTTCAACCTTGTTTTTTTTTTTTTTTTGAAATTAAAATTTTCCATTTATTTTATATGGAACAAATAACATTTTTTGGTATAAAATTTTCGCTTTACTTTATATGGAACAATTTTTTTTTTGCGTAAAAATGGTGGATATAGAATTCTTGAAAATCAATTTTTCTATCGATCGCAAAACTCTTGTTTTCAGAAGACTTCCAATAATAATACCCACTTGTTTATTTAACAATTTTTTAATATGGACTATTTTTATAGGGCGCCCAAAAAACTGCAATAGGGGACCCATAAAAAATCGTTAGTACTAAAAAAATGCTAAAATAAACAGTTGCGTATTATTATTAGAAGTCACCTGAAGAGAATCAAGAATTCTATACCATTTCTACGAGAAATTGTTTTTTTCGCCATATAAAATACATGGAAAACTGAATAAATATTTTTTGATTTCAAAATGAGAAAAAACAGGAAGTATTGTTTCGATATAGACCAATCCTAAAGGGTGACAGCATTAAAATGCCGACTTAATTTTTTTTTTTTAACCACCCTATTGTACATACATATGTATACACATTCGTTTTGTGTATAGGGCGCAAATAGAGACATGAATATGATGCGCACGCCAACACACCCCCAAACAGCGGGGCGCGAACACAAACACTTTAACCTACATACATAAATATTGGCATACAATTGTACATAGACAATATATAATATAATAGCGCTAGAGAGGGTTGAATGTTCGCCTTACATATCACCCACCCGCCTACTGCCCACCTTCATATGTTTGCGCTTTATGCTTTTGTTTGATTTACTTAAAATAAATCGAGTGCGCACTTTTGTTTTCACTGCAAAGCATTTGCATTGTTCTGCTGACTAAAATAATTTTATCACATTGTATTAATGTAAAATATCTGCATACATATATACATATATGTATATGAATATTTGTACATACACTGGCGGCAGAAATAATAGACTCGCCTTACTTAGAAGAGTTTTGTCTATATTTCCATGGTTTACTTTAAGTGTAATATTTTTTGTAAAAGCCTAGGTAGTTATACAACAAACATCATATAAATCCTCTTTTCAAACTTTATACCAAAATTATAAAAATTCGACAAATTTTTAGGCTTTTTATTCAGAATTTAACTGTATTTTGTAGCCAATTGAAACTTGCACTTTATTATACTAAAATTGAATGGGCTACCAAACTGCATACCAGAAACTTTTCTAAAAACTCTGAATAGAATGTTTGAAAATTTTGTGAAAATTTATCGAATTCTTATAATTTTTGTTCAAAATTTGAAAAGCGGATTTGTATGATGTTTGTTGTATAACTACCTAGGCTTTTATAAGAAAAAATTAAACATAAAATAATCTAAAGAAATATAGTCAAAATTTTTAAAAGTAAAACGAGTATATTAATTTTGCTGCAAGTGTACATATATACATAAATATGTATATAGTATAAAAATTTATGTGTGTTGTGTACTCTTGTTGATTATTTCGACATTTACTGTTTCCATTTATTTAATATGCAAAATATTTTGTATCTCATTTGCGTTCGTTATACGCCTCTTAATTTTTTCGTCCGCTTAAGAGTCTATGCTTGTGCGTGGCGTAGCGGTTATGAAATTATAGTCCTCCGTTCGACTCTTGTTTAATATTTTCAGGGTGGGGAAAATTTACAAGGCAAACAATTGTTGTCTTTGTAACAGCATACAAATTCTCCAAATAGTTTTAGGTAGGGATGCT